CTGGGAGGGATTTTGGGGGGATTTTAGGGGGAGTTTTGGGGTATCTGTGGGGGATGTTTGGAGGATTTGGGGGGATTTTAGGGGTATCTGTGGGGGAATTTTAAGAGGATTTTGGGGGGATTTTTGGGAGATTTAGGGGGGATTTTAGGGGTATCTGTGGAGGATTTTCGGGGGGATTTCAGGAGGATTTTGAGGGGATTTTAGGGGTATTCTGTGGGGGATTTTTGGGGGAATTTAGGGGTGTTTTTGGGGGGTCCGTGCGCGGAGCCAAAGAAGCGGCGGAGGCGGCTGAGGGTTACACAGATTTATAATCGCTGGATCACGCGCAGCAGCAGCAGCAGCAGCACAGACACAGACCCGGGGGGCCGGGGGGGGGGGGGACCCCCGGGGGGGGCGATGGAAGAACGGGGGGGGCACAAAGGGGGGGTGACCCCCACCCCTCCCCCCCCAGAGTGGGTAAAGTGCAGGACGGGGACCCCTCCCCCACCCCGAGATGGACTGGGGGGGCGGGTGGGGGAGGGGAAGGATGACACACACACCCCCCCCCCAAAGGGTGAAATGGATCGCCCCGTGCTCGCTCCTGATTGGGCCGGGACCAGATCCCGGCCCTGCCCAGCTCACTCCTGACTGGTTCCCGATCAGATCCCGGCCCTTGTTTCTGATTGGCTCAGGACCGGATCCCAGCTCCACCCATGCTCACTCCTGATTGGCTCGGGGCCAGATCCCGGCCCTGCCCAGCTCACTCCTGATTGGTTTCTGATCAGATGCCACCCTCATTTCTTATTGGCCCAGGACTGGATCCCAGCTCCACCCATGCTCGATTCTGATTGGCTCTGGACCGGATCCCAGCCCTGCCCAGCTCAATCACGATTGGCTCCATACCAGATCTTGCTCTTGCCTCTGATTGGCTCCAGACCAGATCATACCCTCAATTTTGATTGGCTCCAGACTGGATCCCAGCTCTGCCCATTCTGACTCCTGATTGGCTCCGTACCGGATCACACCTTTGCTCCTGATTGGCTCCCACCATGCCCACGGCCTCTCCTGATTGGCCGTGACTGGATCCCCCCTCCAGAGCAGAGCAACCCCATTGGGCGGGGGCGGGACCCGCCCCTCCAATCCAAACCACTCCTGATTGGATCCTGGCCGGGCCCCGCCCCCGCCCGGAGTCACTCCCAGGACCAGATCTGGCCCCGCCCCCAACAGGATCTCAGCCCTGATTGGACGGCACCAACCCTACCCGGTCCCTGATTGGCTCTTGACTTGACCACGCCTCTGTTCAGGGGGATCCGGAATATTCCTCACGCCCCTCTGCTCATCTCTGCATCGTGGCTCCTGATTGGCCAAACACTGGATCCCAGCTGAACCCAAGGCTGCTCCTGATTGGCTCCGGGCCTGATCCCGCCCCTCCTGATTGGCTCCAGACACCGGATCCCGCACAGACCAGTAGCTGCTGATTGGCTCAAAATCCGACCCCCAATAAAGTCACACCTGATTGGCTCAACACCAGACCCCTGCTCCTCAGTCGCTCCTGATTGGCTCCTCACTTGATCCCACCCCTGCCCAGCTCTGCTCCTGATTGGCTCAGCCCCAGATCCCGGCTGAACCCATCGCTCCTCTTGATTGGCTCCACACCAGACCCCGCCCCCTGACACCGCACCCCCTTTCTCCTGATTGGCTCCACGCTGGATCCCTGCCCCTGATTGGCCGTGACTTCGGCCCCGCCCCCCTCTTCAGCAGCGCCGCTCCCCATTGGCCGCTGGCCGGATCCCGGCCCCGCCCCCTCCCCTCCCCCATAGTGCAAATGGTTCCCACGGGCGGAAAACGCGAATCAGAGCTTTACCTCTTCTGCCTCATTTGATCCCCTCTTTTCCTGGCCGCCGCGGGGCCGGCGGGGCCGCGGGGCCCGGCTGGCCCGGGGCGAACGGCATCTTCACCAGCAGCTTGCCGGGGGGCTTCTCCAGAGCGCGTTTGGCCGCAGAGCCCCCCTCGGACACGGCGGCGGCCGCCTTGGGCCGGGCGCTGCCGCCTCCGCCACCGCTGCCCTTGGGCCGCCCCCGGCCGCGGCCGGTGCCGGGGCCTTTGGGCGATTTGGGCTTCTTGGGCGGGCGCTGCTCGCGGCGCGAGGGGCTGCCCCGGCCGGTGACGGTGAAGTCGAAGTCGTTGGGGTCCAGCGAGGTGTCCCCCACCTTCTCGAAGTAGGCGATCAGCTCCACCTTGGAGCGGAAGGCTTTTCCCTGTGGGCTGCGGACGGAGAGCGAGCGGTCAGCGAGCGGTCAGTGGCGATGGCCGCACGCCCCTCTCCGGCCAAACCCCCCCACAAACACACACACACCACCCGCGCCGGGCCTCACTTGATCAGGTAGACGTCGTACTTGCCGGCCGAGCGGCCGGACTTGCGCTGCTTGAGCTTGCGCGTCCAGCCCTCGGGCAGCGTGGGGTCGTCGTACATGGGCCCGCGGTCGCGGATGATGGAGCGCCGCTGCTTCGGCGACGCCGACGCCTCCGGCGCCGCCGGCGCCGCCCCGGCGCCCTCCGAGCTCTCGGCCTTGCCGGCCTCGGCGGGCTCGGCCGCGGGCTGCTCCGGCTCCTTGCGCTCCTTCTTGGGCTTCTTGGCCTTGGGCGGCCGCTGCAGGTTCTCCTCGGATTGCTCCTCCCTGCGGGGACACGCGGCGGTCAGCAGGGGAGGGACGGGGTCGGGACGGACACACGGACGTGAGGGACGCGGTGGGAGGCCACGCCGGGCGCTGGGTGTGGAAGGGGTCAGTGCTGGGTGTATGGACAGACAGACAGGGCCCTGGACACAGCACTGGACACACGGACAGGGCCCTGGACACAGCGGTGGACACACAGGGCCATGGACACACGGACAGCGCCCTGGACACAGCACTGGACACACGGACAGGGCCGTGACACAGTGCTGGACACAGGGACAGGGCCCTGGACACAGCACTGGTCAGGGCTGGACACACGGACAGGGCCATGGACACAGCGCTGGACACACGGACAGGGCCCTGGACACAGCGCTGGACACACGGACAGGGCCATGGACACAGCGCTGGACACACGGACAGGGCCCTGGACACACAGACAGGGCCCTGACACAGCGCTGGACACACAGACAGAGCCCTGCAGCTCCCTGAACGGAACTGGTCAGTGCTGGACACACGGACACAATGGACAGGGCCCTGCGACTCTTTGGGCAGGGTGCTGGTCAGCACTGGACACGCAGACCCAATGGACACACGGACACGGACTCGCTGGACACATGGACCAGGCCCTGCAGCTCTCTGGACACAGCGCTGGTCAGTGCCGGCTGCACGGACCCGATGGACACACGGACACGGCCCTGGGGACCCCTGAACACAGCACCGGTCAGTGCTGGACACACGGACAGGGCTCTGCGACTCTCTGGACACACGGACAGGGCCCTGCGACTCTCTGGACACAGCACTGGTCAGTGCTGGACACACGGACAGGGCCCTGCGACTCTCTGGACACACGGACAGGGCCCTGCGACTCTCTGGACACAGCACTGGCCAGTGCTGGACACACGGACCCCGCTGGACACACGGATGCAGCACCGCAGCTCCCCGGACACAGCACTGGTCAGTCCCGGACACGCAGACGGACAAACGGACAGCACCGGACACACGGACACAGCCCCAGACACCAGCACGGGTGAAATGGCGTGGAACTGGGCAAAGCCGGAGCCAGGACAGGGAGGAGGAGGAGGAGGAGGAGGAGGAAGGAGGGGCAGCCCGGACCGGCGGGAATTACGGCCGCGGCCGGAGCGACACCCCGGCGCTGGTCACTCCGCGGCGTGGGGGGCACGGGGGGGACGGGGGCTCGGGGTGGACACCGGACACTCCCACGGCCGTGTCCTGGCTCGGCCACCCGAGTGTCCGGCGGCGCCGTGTCCACCCCGCGGGGCTAAAGCCAGCCCCGGGGGTCGTGGTCAGCGCGCGGTGACACCGGGGCTGTCACCCCAGCCCCGCGTCGGTGTCACCGGGGACGGGACCCTCGGTGGGGGGATTTGGGGTGGGACCCCCGTCCTCGGCGTCACCGCTGCCACCGGCGCGGGGGTCCCGTCCTGGCGAGGAGGCTGGGGGAGGGGCGGGACCCCCGCTACGGGGTCGGTCATGGGGTGGGGAGGGGGACGCAGCCCCCCAGGACCCCCCAGTGCTGGGGGTCCCCACGGTGCCACCCTGGTGGCCATCAGGGGAGCCCCCCGACCCCTCCCCACTGAGTGGGGAGCACGGCCAGGACCCCACAGCCCCATCCTGGGGCTAAAAGTCACAAAAACGGCACAAAAAAATTTGGGACGGGGCGTGGGAACTTCGGGATGAGGGGGACTGGGGACGGGGGGTGACCCCCAGGGACCCCCCAACATGTCCTGGGGTCTCAGGGGGGCTGGGGTGGCCTTGGGGTCGAGTGTCTGAGGTGGCCCTGGGGGTCCCGTGGTTGCCCTGGGGAGGTCTGGGGTGGCCCTGGGGGTCTCAGGGGGTCTGGGGTGGCCCTGGGGGTCTCGGGGTCCTGGGTTTGGGGTGGCCCTGGGGGGTCCCAGGGAGGTCCCGGGGGGTCCTGGGGGTCTCTTGGTGGCCCATGGGGGTCCCTGAGAGGTCCCAGGGGGGTCTGGGGTAGCCCTGGGGGTCCCTGGGGGGTCCCAGGGGGGGCTAGGGTGGCCCTGGGGGTCCCTGGGGGGTCCCAGGGAGGTCCCGGGGGGTCCTGGGGGTCTCTTGGTGGCCCATGGGGGTCCCTGAGAGGTCCCAGGGGGGGCTGGGGTGGCCCTGGGGGTCCCTGGGGGGTCCCTGGAGGGTCCCTGGTGGCCCCAGGGTTGAGGATCCCAAGCGGCCCCGGGGGTCTCAGGGGGTCTCGGGGTGGGCACAGCAAAGGAGGGCGTGAGAAGCCAAATTTTGGGGTGTTCCGGGGAAATTTGGGCAATTCCAGCGGAATTTGGAACATTTTGGGGTGATTTGTGGGATTTCGGGGCTTGAGGGCAGTTTCAGGGCGATTCCAGGTGGGATTTGGGGGAATCTGGGGGGATTTGGGGGGACCCGGAGGGGTTACGGGAGCGCGGCCGTTTTGGGGCAATTTGAGGCGTTTTTAGGAGCAGCGTGAGGGGAACATTTGGAGCAACTTTGGGGCAATTCTGGATATTTTGGGGCTGATGAATTTTGGGGGAATTCAGGGTATTTTGGGGTAACTCGGGGAGTTTGGGGGCGCTGCATGAGTGCAGCAATTCGGGGAAATTTGGGGGATTTTAGGGTGAAACGAGCACTTGGGGCGTGCAGCGTGAGCAGCATTTTGGGGCAATTTTGGGGATTTTGGGGTGGCGCACGAGCACAAAATCTTGGGGCAATTCAGGGGATTTTAGGGTAAATCGGGGGGATTTGGGACGCAGCGTGAGCAGCAGTTTGGGGCAATTTTGGGGATTTTGGGGCGCAGCATTTTAGGATAAATCATGGGGTGTGGGGGCGCAGCATGACCAGCGGTTTGGGGCGTTTTCGGTTATTTTGGGGTGCAGCATTTTGGGGCAGTTCGGGATATTTTGGGGCGTCACACACACGCAGTAATTCGGGGCAGTTTTGGGGTGCAGCAATTTGGGGAAATTCGGGGTATTTTGGGGTAACCCGGGGTACTTTGGGGCACCACGTGAGCGCGACAGTTCGGGGCAAATTTGGGTATTTTGGGGCGCAGCGCAAGCGTAACATTTTGGGGTGACTCGGGGCATTTTGGGGTGACTTCGAGAGGTTTTGGGGCCACTTCGGGGTGGATTTTGGGGTGACTTCGGGAGGGCTTTGGGGTGACTTCGGGGGGGTCAGGATAACTCGGGGAGCAATGGGGTGATTATGGGGGGTTTGGGGTAACTCTGGGATTTCGGGGTGGCTCGGGGGGTGCTCGGGGTGGATTTCGGGGTGACTCGGGGCGGATTTTGGGGAGCCCCGGGAGGGTTTTGGGGCAGTTTTCGTGGTTTCGGGCGTGCGCGGGACAGGCCGGGGGGTGTGTCCCCTTCAGGGGGGCGCGGGTCCCTCCGTGAGGGGGGGGTCCCCATCTCCCACCCTAACGGGGGCAACACCGGCGCGGCGACACAGACGGAATTTTGACGAGGAAGGGGAGGGGTCCCCAAATTTCACAGCGGGGCTGTCGGGGGGGGGGGGGGGGGGGGGGGGGTGCCGGCCGCATTTTGGGGGCTCGCGGAGGAAAGCCAGGCCAGGTCCCCCCATGGCGGAGGGGTCCCGCGCCGGGGCCGGGGGGTCCCCCCGAGGGCTCCCCGCACAGGGGGGGCTCCTCCCGCCCCCCGGGGGGGCCGCGGCCGCTCGTGACGCACTCGCGGCGCTCGCAGCCCCCCCCCAGCCCTCACACACACACACACACACACACACACACACACACAAGAACTGGCTATGCAGATCAAGCTCTGAGAAATGAAATAAAGCAAAATGGTAATCTTAATCTTCCCTTTAATATCCTACCCTGTGCCAGATAAGAGCAGCTGTGCTCACACAATGTGTCCAACTGGACATGATAAATAGCCTGTGAGAAAAGAAAAATACACAGACACACAAATATATATATATGCATACACACATGCTCTAAGGAATTTAAAATATGTTTGTTCACAGAAGTGGTGGCCTCCAGCTCACAGCTTCCTCGATTAAGAAAAGGGTTTATTGGAAATAAAAATGGCCTGCCAGGGTTGGAATCATACACAAAATCCTAGAGTAAATATCTGTATGGGTAGCCTGAAGGGTTAACCTTACCAATGCACAAATACTGACTGGCTCTCCTCCTGTTACAGTGTAAATGCTGATTGGAAGGAAGAGATCATTCTAGGTCAGTATGTCCTTTACATTGTGAATAGCTTGACAGGGGCTAATAAACTCCTCTGCCTATGGCACCAATAATTTATTATATATTCCTGGGTATCACATGCAATTTTTTATTTATACATGTATAATTGGTTGGTTTGGTTTTAAAGAGGTGGAGCAGGACAATCTGGGTCAAGAAACATGCTTTATCCAGAGGATGCCAAAGGTTCCGCACCCCCAGTCTTAACCTAAATCGCGGAGAATCACATCCTGGTTGCTGCTCCCTGCACCAGGACTTTACATGGCAGCTGGGCATCGGGTGGGTCAGCACAGCTGACGTCTTACAGGGATCCAAAGGGTGCATGCACGGCTACCCACTCATGCTGCAAAGCAATCCCAGCTGCTTTGAGCAATTCTTCGTGAATTGACTTGATTGTGAAACAGCAGATTTCAAGTTTCTTTCCCGAGTGGTCACTGCTCTGCAGCCTGCTGCCGAGGGAGCCATGCCCCGGAGCAGCCTGCTTTGCTGCTGCCTCCGCTGCACTGCATTTCACACCGATGAGGTAATTCCACTGCAGATGAGGTAACCCTGCGAGTCGCCCACCAGCTAGAAGAGGTTACCATATGATTCCTCATGTAAACACGCAGCACGGTCCCCCCGGAGGAGAGCTGACAGCTGCTCTCCCCCGATGCCGAGCTGGTGGCCAGCAGGCCCGGAGCCCCCGGCCCGCGCGGCCTTGGCGCCTCAGCGAGAGCCGCGGGGCGCCTGCCACGCGTGTGCCGCAGCGGCGCTGGCCCCGCCCCTCCGCCCGGCGCCGGTTGGCCCAGCGTCCCGTCGGTCAAGGCGGCGGCGCGCGGTGATTGGGCGGCGGGGCCGCCCTCCGGGGGCGGGGCCGGGGCGCTCGCGCCGGGCCGTTGGAATTGGCGGGAAGCGCTGTCAGTTACTGGGGGCGGGGCCGGCGGAGCGCGCGCGGGCGCCCATTGGGCCCCGCGCCGGGACGCCGGGCTCCGATTGGCAGTGGGGGATGTCGGTCAAGAGACGGCGAAGGGGGCGTGGCCTGGGCCCCCCCGCGCTGCGAAGGGTTTGAAATCCAACGGCCGTAACGGTCCGCGAGGCCACGCCCCCTCCGGGCCACGCCCTGGACACGCCCCGCCCGCCCGGGTCCCGCTGCCCCAGTACGGGGAGTACTGGGACCAGTATAGAGACAGCTGGGCCCAGTATGGGGACAGCTGGGACCAGTATGGGGATAACTGGGACCAGTACGGGACAGCTGGGACCAGTACGGGACAACTGGGACCAGTATGGGGACAGCTGGGACCAGTATGGGGATAACTGGGACCAGTATGGGATAACTGGGACCAGTATGGGGATAACTGGGACCAGTATGGGGATAAATAGGACCAGTACGGGACAGCTGGGACCAGTATAGGGATAACTGGGACCAGTATGGGGAGAGAGAGAACCAGTATGGGACAGCTGGGACCAGTATAGGGAGAGCTGGGACCAGTACGGGGAGTACTGGGACCAGTACGGGACAACTGGGACCAGTATAGGGACAGTGGGGACCAGTATGGGACAACTGGGACCATTACGGGCACAGCAGAGACCAGTGCAGGGACAACTGGGACCAGTATAGGGGACAGCAGGGACCAGTACGGGACCAGTACGGCCGCTGTGGCCACCAGTACAGAACCAGTATGGCAATGACGGCCACCATTAAAGAACCAGTATGGCGATGATGGCCACCAGTACAGAACCAGTATGGCGATGACGGCCACCAGTAAAGAACCAGTATGGCAGTGACGGCCACCAGTACAGCCAGTGTGTCACCAGTTTGCTCACGGTGCCCCCCAGCCCGGGGGGAGGGGCGGGGCCGGACCCCCCTCCCCCCAGCCCGGGGGGATGAGCGGGGATGGAGCGCTAATCCCCCCTCCCCCA